ATATTTATAAATATATATTGACTTTGGGCATTTATTGCTTCACATTTCCTTGATTATTTTTTGTGCCTCTCAAAATAAAACTACAGAAAAGCACTTTCCAAAAAAAGAATTGAGAAAGAGGCATCAAGAAGGAAGCGTTCGAAAATTTTGAATCTTTTTACTTGTAATAACTATTTTTTGTATATACAAAAGAAAATCGGGAACACTTTTAAAATCAACATTCGTTGTTAAAATGGACGATTAGTAGTAGCACACAAAATTATCACTGGTGAAGGTGATGATACAACACAAACATCCGAATCACAAATAACTTTCTTACAAGTACATATGTGATTGTATTGCGGACAGTTGAGGCGTTAAACATGATAAATAATGAAACATTCAAGCTATTGCAGCACATGTTAAAACTGTAACAATCACAAAAAGAAAGAAACTGAACACATGAAAACAAAATGAATATCATTCGACGTACATTTTCAGGAGTAGGTACAATATAAAACCCAAAAAGGCTCCTTATCCTTTTTCAAAAATAAATAACTGCTTCTATTTAAATACACCTTAAAAAAACGAAAGCCGAAGACCCTGTACAACGTTAAATATTAAAAAAAAACACGCAATTACTCATCGACTTCGAAAAATAATTTTTTTCCTTTTTGGTTCAGCAACAGTATTTTTACTCCTAAAATTGTATTTCTATAATTATTAGATTATACATAATAGTACAATAATATATAATAAATTTTCAATTGAATAGTTAATTCTCTTTTACGTTTGTAAAGGTGATGTTTATCAAAAAACTGCACCACCATTGTACAACTGAGCAAGTTATCAGGAATTATAAAACAAAAACAAGCACTGTGAAACTTATCGATAGATAATGACGTTTAAAAAAACTAATAATAATCAATTAATTAATTAATTAAAATAATAAGCAGAGATCTTAAAAATTTTCGGGGGGGAGGAACGGGGAACAACAAAGAACAAAACAAACAATAAACCTGCAAGATACATATTTACAATCGTTAAGTAAGGATAATATTAGCAGTAATAACAATTACAATAAACGATGATGATGGTATGACATTAATTGTAATAATAAAAAAAATATTGCAATAATAATAATAATAATAATGGGCGGGTGGGGGTGGTAATAAATTAAACTATAAAACTGACTTGTTTCTATAACAATTATTATCAGTCAGGATTGCTTAATAGTAAATTTTTTGTCATTGCTGAGTGAGAATGATCTTCGATTTAAATCCGTTGCGTTGAAGGAGGCGTTTTTTCGATTAAAAAACGCATTTTCACAATCATTACCTGGCTATGATGTCATGTCGAAAACAAACTCGCAATAAACGTACACTGAGATGGGTTAGAATTACACGACAAGATAACCTGGGACAAGAAAAAATCAATTTACAAAAAAGGCACGAAACAAATCATTAATTTTTGAATCATTTTATCATTTCTTTCTGAGCACAATTCAATTAAAACTCACCATTAATTAAATAAAATTCACTTTTGTATGATGCTCGTTACACCTCGTCGGAAGCCATTTGGGGGGCCACGTTAAGTCCGTCACCCCCCGGCCCGTCCTCGTCCACATTTGGTACCGTCTTATTAAGTGCAGCCTGCGCCTCCAACGCTCTTATTCTATTCTCGTGTTTCACTATCATCGCCTTCAATTTCCGAATTTCGTCTGCAAAGTCCTGCAGCGCCTTTTCCTGAAAAACGCATAAATTTAATCAAATATTTCCTCTTCTCTTCTTTGTAATTAAATTACCGAAACAGCAGCAGCCTGTGCCCCAGCAGCTTGTCCTTTGGCCCCTTTGGGCGGGATCTTATCCAAAAGGTTGCTTCGTTTATTCACCGAAATCGCAGCCTTTGACTGAGGTGGTGTGTAGCCTTCTTTGAGCGATATCAAAATTGGTTCCTCGTCCTTGCCCTCCATCCATTCTTCCGCCGAAAGAGCCGCAGTATCACCAACTGTGTCAGGATACAAGTCTTCTTGAAAAAGTTCTGATTTTCTTGGAACTGTCATCGTTATTACCTTCAAAATAAACCACTCGTCTTAACATTTAAAATAGCGAGACGATAAAAAGGTCTTTTTTTACAGTCTAGTCCTGTTAGTCCCTACGACTAGTTTTGCATAGTTCAAAATAAACTAAATCTGTACCTGACATAATCCTGAATTGTTCAGTCGATAAAATCTCGATATTTCACATGAGTTAACATCACAACCACGTTTGGGCATCATTCCAATCCCTCGTTGCGGATCGGGCGTTTGGAACGTGTTAATATAGTGGACAAAGGGTGGTTCCGGTGTTATTTCGAAGTACCTACAAAAAAACATCAGTTTACCAATAAGTAAATAATTATTATAATGGACAGGGAAACATGCCTAATAACAGAATCTCCTTTCCCACAGAGATACACCAAGTTGGTATCGGCGTCGTACAGTGGAAACATGACACCATTGGACGTGTCCAATTCGACCATGACCACGGTCTCACCGACGGCATCGGGTGCCCTCAAACTGTACTGTCTCTCGGACATTTTCGAAAATCCAGTCGTGAAAATTAAACCGTGCCTTAAAAATATCGCCCTCGTTGCTTTAGAACCTAAAACAGTCGTAATCACCCTAACATTATTAAATGAAAAAAAAAAGGTGAAACAATCAAGCCGACCTTCATGGCAAATGCCCTCCGATTCGACTTCTCCAGTTCTTGGATTAAGTATTCGAATCTTTTTGTCTTTACATGTCGTTAACAACTTCGAACCATCCCAATTAAAGCAGGCACTGTAAACGATATCAGGGTGGCAATCGATATTGACCAGAGCCTCTCCAGTTCCTAAAAAGAACACCATTCAATATAGAATTAAAAAAATATTCTACTATAACTTACCAACATTCCATATTACGACTTGGTTATCACTACCGGCAGTGAGTAAGACATTGAGGGCAGTTGGATGCCAGAGAACCAGTCCCACCCTACGTTGATGATAGATGAGGTCAACGATAGGTTCAGTGAGTGTTTTGATTAGGCCCCCGTCCGGGATGTGCCACACTTTGACCACGCAGTCTTCCGAACCGCTAGCTATCACATTGTCGTTGTGTGGACACCAAGCTATGTCCAAAACGGGGCCTTTATGGCCTCCTACCAACGGATGATCTGCTGCTATACGGCCAACCTAAACAGCCCCATTTAAAATATAAGTCTAAGAAAAAAAGCTGTGACTTTCCACTAAATTTAAATGAATTACATGCAAACTAGACATAATAATCACTTAACGAAATATATTTAAATAAACACAGACACTTAGTTTGTTTCACAAATTTATTTAAACTTTACGTTAAGGTTTGCATTATAACTCTTAATAAATTTGTGAAATAAACTGTGTTTGTACTTTTATTTTTTTTATATACTTTCTTAAAAATTTACATTAAAAATGTTATAGCTTTACAGTCCATAATGTTTTGTTATCAGTCTTTAAATAAGTTGCACCAACTTACTGACTAACAGCAAATGTAAATATTTTAAGGTAAAAAGGAGAATTACAAAAAAGTAAAGTCAAGGTCGTAATAGGACGCTGAAAAAAATTAAACTGTGCCAAACATTTTAAACTTAAAACAAACTTTGAAGCAGGATGAATAAAATAATCTTTAAATTCTTGTAGTCTGCATAGGAGAAGTCCAAACAAACACTTTTATATAAATAGATTCGAGAGCTGAGCCGGTGACTCACTCCAGGGGAAGATTAAAACGAAAAAACAAAACCCAAAACTGGATTAAAGGCATAATCCCCGTGACGTACAAGCAATTACAAATTATAAAAAAGTGTTGGGACAGATATTTTTAGAGATGGAGTTCGCATGCCAGCATTTTAAATGCAATTTTTAGAATCACGCTACTTAAAACACACGACTTGGTGTATTTGAAAGTGGGAAAATTCGCAAGTCGCTATCGATCCCAAAATTTTTGCGTTTTACGAGAAAATGCCAGGCATTTTCGAAATTATTTTCCCGAAAGACAACAGACGGTCCGAGCCAAATTATTTCTAATAAGTAGGTCGAAATTCTGGCATGTGTCGGATATAATCAATCTCATTGGAAAGTAAAAAATTAACGCGCGACTTGTTACATGTTCATCATCTAAAAACGCTATTAATACCACCTCTCGATACAAATTTAACTTGACTATAAATAAACGCATCTCGTTCGTGGTTAAATTCGAAAATATTTATACAATTTGCAACACTTCTAAATAAGAATATCCCAAGTATTATTAATATACATATTTCCCTCATGGACGTACCGTTTTGAATTCCAATCATTTCGCACAATTAATATTACACACAGGTATTGTATTTCAACTATTACAAACAATTCGAAATACAAAATGATAAACGGAACGCCATACTTTAATGTGTAAACAATTTCAAAGACAATATAATATAACAATTAAATATTTACTTATAAGTATCATCTTTTAAAGGAAGACAACACCACCAACAACATAAAAAATTAATGAATGCTATACTTTGAAGCAGGCTTTTAAGTGATAACAAAACACATGAAGCACTGCTTCAAAGCTCATTGGAGTATTTCATGATAACAAATTCAACAACTTCTGTTTATCTAACAACAGATAACAGGAAGCATTATCAACATCCTGTGCACCTTTTAAACACAAACTATGATATCCATTAGCATTCCTTAAAAGAAATAAAATTTATGAATATATTAACATACTTTGTTTAATGGAAGGACAATAAAGGCACCACCTCCAGCACTCTCAACGATTATAGCCAAAAACTTGGGGTTAACAGCACAAAATGTTGAATCCCATGAACTTTTACTGACTCTTATATTATCATAGCACTGTTCCCTTTTGAGTGCTGTGCCATACACATGGCGAAACTTTGAACTTCTAACTACTCTAAAAGACATCTGAAAAGACAGTTTATGCTAAAGATTATAATAAGTTTAAGTTAACAAACTACTGAACTAAAAAATTTCGTTCACGTCCCAATACGACAAAATTAAAAAAAACATACAACTACACTTAACAAGAAACATGTCACCACTTCTGAATTATTTAACAAATAAGGGTATATGCAATTGGTAGCTAATTTCGCCCCCCTTTTTCTATTCGATTAGCTATTGCTTAAAAACAAACAATTTAAGTAGCTTACCAGAATCCAAGTTATATATAATAATTAAAGTTTAATTTTCTTTGTATTTCTATCTATTTGGTATTCAAAAGGTCCCCTACTTGCGATTAAAAAATGATAACATAAAAACATAACCTACCAATTGACCGTTAAATATAATTAGGTATTATATTAGCTTACCTTATTTGGTAGGCTTTAGTATGATAATTTAAAATTTAATTCCAGTATCACATTAAAATTTTTAATTTATGAAATATACATTTGAGTTGCTAAAATTATTAAATAGAACACCAAAACACTCACTACCTAAGCAAAAGGCCATATTTGGATATGCGAAAATTTTAAACGTCAAAATCATTCTACTTATCTACCATCTGGAGGAAGCTACGCGAAATAGGGGTTCAAATTTTCATATTAGTTGCGTTCAATCAATCAGTTGAAAGATTACTAAAGAATCTAATATAAATAGCATTTTCTTAAAAAAACTGTATAATAAGTCGCTACACATTGAATTAAGATTAAAACTTAAGGACAAAGTAGTATTACGTAATTAGTATATACATCTATTAAAAAACCATAATGGCCGACATCAGTGACAATGCGACAACAATTGAAAAAGAATGATGGCCGTCAACCACAACAATTAGAAAAGAATGATGGCCGACACTACGTCATAGTGAAGCAATAAAAATGGCCGGGAGCAAGGGGAAGAACTAGTATAAAATAATAAAAATATGTAATTAAAAAATAATCTTCTTCGTTCCTATAATATAACACTGAAAGTTGAGCTGGTTTATGAGTGACGTAATTTGTCAATTAATTTTTTAACTTTGGCTAAAATTGACAAAATATTAATTTTAATACTATTTTTTATTTTTGAATACACCCTACTATTCAAATGTTATTCGACAGAGCTGTAACCATAGATAACGGACTCTATGACTCTAACCTTGTCTATGACCCTAACCAAAAAGTATATTTACAAACAAGATGTTATCTACTTATTTCTTTTAGTTATTAAAAACGATTAAATCATGTTTACATCTCAGTTCTTACACTCAGTGTTCTAATGTGTGTCATAAATTAAAATCATTAACATTGTGCTTTAAAGCCATGGCGGAAATAGCTGCTCATTTAACAGCAACGAGTGAGGCAAGGCCTTCGCTTTTTGAAATAATTGCTCAGAAGTCCTTAGATGCAACTTTATACCCTGCTTTTAATAAAGTAGCAGAGGTAGGATCAATAATTTCTCACAAATATTATGATGTGTAATTTCCTTTAAGTTTTTAGCTGCATGCTTTCCAAATAAATGTAAAGACATTCCAAGATATTCAGATGAAATATTTCTAATATTAAAAGGACTCCTAGAATATAATTATTTAAGGAAGAGAGGTCGTTAATAATTAATTATTTTTAAAGTCATTTATTTCATTGCCATATGCTTTCTTTCCATTTTAGATGCATCCTTTTCTGAGTATTTTTATGGCCTTAAAAGAGTCTCAGTCTCTGATAACAATGTCCACAAGTTAAAGACACTCCAGAGATGCTATTCATTAATTGTTTTAGTTGGTGTTCCATATTTAAAAAGAAAATTAGAAAATAAAATTGAACAATACACTTTAGAAACACTTGATGGCACTTGTCATAGTGAATTTGAAAGAAAATGTAAAAAGTCTGTAATTTTTCTTCATTCTTCAGGTGAAATGTTTTGGAACTTGTGGACATTTGTACAGTATTTAAAGTACATAGGTAACAGAACTGACGTCCAGTTGCCAGAATTGCTACTTATTAAACTCAAACTTGTTTATGCAGAAGAGACCTTAGATTTTATTGACTTTTGGTCACAATTATTCAAAGGAGAACTTAGGTAGAAATAAAACATGAGTTGCTCATGTTCTTTTGAATACTTAAATGAAATTTTAGTGCATCGGAAATTGTTTCTGGAATATTACACAATGGATTGGCCACTGCTTTAGAAATATCAGCTTTTTTTCTACAGTTTTTAAAAGTGTGGAATGATGAAAAAATGAATTACAACTTGACTAGTCTTCCCAAAGTTGCACCTCCAGAGGTCAGTAATAATTTTTTATAAGCAAAGAAAAAGAAAATGCTTTTCTTACTCAAATCAGTCTTGTATTTGTTTTTCATTTTGTAAGTGAAAGACATTAAATCCAAACTTAATGTACACATTATGCAATTTCTTCAATGTAATATATTTTTGCAGTATGATCAAAAATCGAACACATACAAAGGGATATGTCCTATTTGCTTACAGAAACAAAAAATTCCAACTGTCCTCCCAGTGTCAGGGTAAATCTCAAAATATTAAGCTTTATATTCCCTTTAAATCACACTTTTTTTTACAGGTATGTTTTCTGTTTTCCCTGCATTCTAAATCATTTAAAGCAATCGCCAAAGTGCCCTGTTACAAATTTGCCTGCAAATTCCACTGATTTAGTTCGAATTTATGATTCACAATGAAGATATTATTTTATAAATGCTAAGTACAAAAGTTGTATATCTTTAACTGTATGAGGTGAAAAGGTTTTAATGAAGTCTAAATCCGAAAAATATTGTTTATTTCAACTTCAGCAGTGCGTACCTTACCTTAACTATAACAGTAATGTATATCTTACAAAATAATACTTAATTACTATATAAGTTGGTCAACAAATTGCAAGGTTTATTACGAATTATTGTAATATAACGTGCGCCAAATAAATGCTTTCAGTAAAAATTTCCAATAGTAATTCTAAGTTCAACAAATTGATATGTTATTTATTACAAATCAGATATGTACGTAATCAATTCATATTCTTTTAGCTCTTGATTAGCAGCCACTTGACAGCGTATTTCAAAACAAACAGATCAACTCTACAGTGATTACTGTAAAATTAGAGAGTATGATATGTAACTTATTTTCATCTAATTTGCGACTAACTTGACTGATATATCATAACATCATGTTAAAGCCCTAAGAAGAACTCTTAACAACATATTATATCACATTCCCAACGATTTTTTATGAAATATAATATGCATTTAAGAGCAAATTTACAACATTTAAAAATTATTTACGATAAAAGTTTCTCAAACATTATAACTGATTGATTTTGGAATATTCACTGTATTTTGAGCTAATATTTAAATAGCCAATTACTTTGTTAATTAATATTAATTTTCACTATACATATTTCACACTTCTCATTTTTGATTAATCAATAGTACAGCCTCTAAAAGTTACAAAACGTCTTACGAAATTAATTCTAAAACCTTGCTTTCAAAACTTTTAACCGAACCATTACATTTTAATCCTATAATCATAATTGAAGAGATATCTTATACTTTGTATATGTAATAATATATATAATATAATTCTTAAGACATACATATTAACTGCTGACACAGCCACGGAAATATGTCATAACTTTACGATTATTTTTAACTATTAACTTTCAAAATACATGTATTTCGAAAGTTACCTGATAAACCACGTGCCAGCTCCGACATAACAGCTTAACAGTCTTCAAAGTTTTATAAAACCTACACGTTAGCAGCCTCATTCATTCTCTATTAAAAATTGTTCAAACGACCCTGCATTCGTAACAACATAAATCTTATTAGTATTGTGATGCTCAAAAACAACATCATTTTATATCAAACGTCAATAAAGTCTTCATTCACGTTATTCTAAACAATAAATTGTTATAAATACTACAATGTCACAGTGACTAAAACAATATTATGCTCAGAAATGACGCTCTTTTGTTAATTAATAACAATGTCTCGACAAAACACCTACAGATAACAGCACTACTTTTACAGAAGAGACAATAAGAAGCTCAGAAACTGCACTATTTTAATTGAACTTGATCAACGCCTCAGGAAAATAATATAATCTTCTCATAAACGACTATCTAATACCTCAATGAAAAAATAAAAGTATGACGCTGAAAAACAGTACCCAACTTCAACAATAATGAAGAAATTTATGAATCTTCAGAAAATACGTCGTCAAAATCGACGCTTCATAAACGACTAATTGAAATCTTAATTTTCAGAAAGATCTGAGTATAATAACAAGAAGCAACGTAATTCTGAGAAATAAAATGCCTTACTAAATCTCAAACCTCAACATTTTAAGGATAATGTGGCGTTTAAAAAACGACGCCAGTTTGTAGAACTTACACAATGTCCCTGTTACAATTACCGTTGTTACTATTAGATCCTTCCATGTTGGTGTCCTGTAAAGCCTCAGTGCTGCAATATGGGGGCGGAGGAGTGCTCGAAGTATTGACTAAACTGTAATGAGGGTCGCTGCTCGAACGAAAATCCTTCAAGTGAGATCCAGTATTAACACTGAAACTGGACGATACAGATGGACCAACAGAGCAGCTGTTTTTTACTGCCTCGGCGTAAGAAGGGGGCTGATCGCTTTCAATGATATGTACAAAGTCTCCGTAAGCGGAGTCCCTATTCAGAAGTGGATCTAGCACGTCGCTCTGGCGGTCGACGTCGTGTCGTTGAGGGGAAGTACCAGACATATTAGGGCGGTAAGAGCACGAATACGAACGAAGGAATTCTCGTCGAATAGCGCATTCAGTATGTTGACACTCGCCCCTTGGTGGTCTGCGACTGTGACGTGCAACGATCGTGCCATCGACTAAAATGGGACGCTGTCGAGACAAGCCGAACATGATATTTCTTGAACTCATGTCATACGAGTATTTGCTAGCGAATCCGCATATTTTTGACAGGATTAAAATGAGCAGTAGGACAGACAAAAACGTGCTGATTAAGCCTAGAACAGAAATTGTTACAAAAAAAGAATTAAAAAGAAAATTTTTGTCCATACACTTACAAATTGTTATGAAAAGGTAACGAGTGCTGTTACTCTTCACTGTGGCATTTTTTCTCATCTGTTCTTCATAACTTATTGCTATAACAAAACATTATAAGTAATAAGTTTGTTCTCTTTTCTCTCCAATACATCAGCACTACTTTATATCACTTTAATATTTTAATAAGAGACCACAAAAGAGATTAATTAATTAACCAAAACAAAAAATAAAGACATAAGCACAGGATACATTAAAACTAAAATTAACTTACGCTCTATCAATGGAGGGCAGCAAGAAGGTCTAACTTTTACAGTACAGTTTGTATCAAAACGAATATCGCAACACCAATCTGTAGGGATGCAACGACCATCTTCACAAGGAATTTTGCCTTTTGGAATTTTATATACAAAGAAATTTACTATTATATTTCTGCTGTACCATTAAAATCAATTCAGAATGTGAAATTAAAATGCAACATACCTTCACATGGATCTCCATTACATTGTAATGATGTTTCATCTGATCCATCACTGCAATCCTTTTTCCCATCACATACATAATGATAGTTTATGCAGGCTGTACTAAGGACACATGTAAACATATGTTGGTTACAAAACCTAAAAGTCCTTTGCTGTTTATCAACAGGATAACCCTCAATACTATCCATAAGTTGTACAATTGTCTTCTCAAAATCATCCTCTTTCAGTTCAATAACTTTGAAAAGCATATACTTCAGACTTATACAAGCATACAGTCCTTCATGTCTCTTTGAGAAGTTGTCAAAGTGCAAAATTGCTCTATTTGCTTCTCCATTCTTAATATACTGATTAAGTTTCTTTGAATGCTTAGCCAAAAAGCGTAGGTCATTTTCATTCTTAAATCTAGTAAAAAAAAAGATATAACAAAATAAAATAATACCCACAAAGGACTAATAAAATCTCTATACGTACCTTAAACTGCCTTCATTTTTCACCCACAAGAGGTGATCATCATAAGTCTCATTTTGTATGTCGTTAACAATTTCGCATTTTAGAGTTATATTTGAGCCAAACACTTCAACTACTGCCCCTTTAATATCCTTTTCGTTATCATATTTTATTTGGTTTATTTGAAGGAAGAGTTCACCTACAAATTATTGATAATAACCACAATTAATACACAAAACTGGAGACACTTACACTTTATAAAACTAAGGAAAGATAGTACGAATATGTTACTTAATAGTAACCCCGTATTTGGAATCATTTTTTAAATTATAATTAAATATTTTTTAAAAAGGACAAATCAACATCAAACAACGCCATTTTTTATGCTCATTGGCTCATGCTGCCCATTACATATAAAATAACACCAACTTCTAGAAATTGTTATGTTAATTCAACAGTTTTTAAATTAAAGCAATATTTAACTAAATGTCTATAAGATTTATTAAATTAACGAAGTAATTATTTTAATAATTATCAGTCTCATTAAAAGTAAAAGAAATGCAGCTTTATAAATTTTGAAATTTTGAACTAGCTCACTACTTATAGCCAATGGGAAAAGACGTTTAAAAACGTCAAAGAGGTTATAAGTTTATGTTTAAACATTTTTAAATAACAATAAATTTAATAAATATCGTGTGGTGTAAATTAATCCAAAATGGGGAAAAGACAGCACCAAAAAGATAAAATGTATTTAACTTACACAGAATGGACAACGTTATATGGTGGAAAGAAAAGTAAAAACGAAAATGATACCAGTTCCTTTAGGAGATTACCTTTTGATCATTGCTGCTTATCCTTACAACCATTTGAAACCCCTTACTGCGACAGACATGGAAATATATTCGACCTACAAGCCCTTATACCTTTTCTTAAGAAGTTTAAAATAAACCCTGTTACAGGTCAACCACTGGACGTCAAGTCTTTGACTAAATTAAACATATTCAAAGATGCAGAAGGAGACTATCATTGTCCAGTTTTATTCAAAAACTTTACAAACAGCACCCACATAGCAGCTATAGCTACCACAGGAAATGTTTTTTCAATGGAAGCAATTGAAGAACTTAATATCAAAAACAAAAACTGGAAGGATCTGATTACGGATCAGCTATTTGACAGAAAAGATATAATAGTCTTACAGGATCCAAACAACTTGCAAAAATTTAATATTTCTTTATTTCATCATGTTAAAAACAACCTTAGAGTAGAGACTGAGGAAGAGCTTTTGGAAAAATCTGATCCTCAAGCACGTATTAATAAAATGAATACAGAAACCAGGCATACATTAGAAGAACTAGAAAGGGACTATGTTGAGCCTACAATCAAAATTCATCCTGCCAACAAAGTCTCAGAGAAAGCAGACAAGTTTAATGCTGCCCATTATTCAACCGGGGCTGTCGCTGCTGGATTTACATCAACTGTAATGGAACCAGTATTAACCCATGAAGCAGCCATTAAGCATGAAGATGTTGTAAGATATGAAAGGGTTAAAAAAAAGGGATATGTGCGTTTAGTAACAAATTTAGGTTTCCTCAATTTGGAATTGTACTGTGATGTTGTTCCAAAGACCTGTGAAAACTTCATTAAACACTGCGAAAATGGTTATTATAATGGCACAAAGTTTTTCAGGTCGATAAGGAACTTTATTATACAGGGTGGCGACCCCACGAACACAGGCAAAGGGGGCGAATCGATATGGAACACGAAATTCGAAGACGAATTCAAACCCAATCTACTACATACGGGAAGAGGGGTCCTTTCCATGGCCAATTCAGGACCAAACACCAATGGATCTCAATTTTTCATTACCTATCGTTCCTGTAAACATTTGGACAACAAACACACAGTTTTTGGTAAAGTTGTTGGAGGAGTAGAAACATTAAATGAAATGGAAAGAATAGAAGTGGACAATAAAGACAGGCCAATTGAAGATATTGTTTTATTGAATGCTCAAGTCTTTGTAAATCCTTACGATGAGGCCGATGAACAGCTTGCTAAAGAGAGGGAGGTGCAAGCTGCTGTTGATAAAATAGAAGCTGAAAAGAAAGTAGTACAAAAGAAAATTGAGTTAAAACCATTTAAAGAAGGCGTAGGAAAATATATAAACCCTAAAATATTAAAGAAGGATAAAGAAGATCCTTCAAATGTGACATTGACAAAGAAAAAGAAGAAAGAAGGAGCTTACAATTTCGATTTTAGTAAATGGTAGATTATTTATAAGACTTTTTGGTCATGTAAAGATTTAATTTGTACATTTTTGAGAATAAAAATATTTTTAAATATAGAACGTCCTTTTTTAACATAAGATAACTAACAAAACAGGTTTAAATAAGTTTTAACTGTACATAATTTGTATTAAATTCTGTAATAATAAATTTATAAAAGAAAGACAATGAAAATGTTTTTTAATTACAAAAAACCTCGTTCTACTCCCGCTTCTTTTCATATTTATATACAGTACGGTCATGGCTAATGGGAATCATGTGGTATATACAGTAGGTCTCGTATGAGCGTATTATGGGATTCCCCGGATGTTTTATTTAGGGTTTAATTTGTTTACAGTACACGGTGAACAAAAAGGTTTTTATTGAATGTTTTTATATTAAAGTAAAGAATGAAGTGTATTATGGAATTTCCCGAATATTTTTATATCTACTAGATGTCCCAAATGATACACATAGTGTGTCCCACATGAGTGTAAAGAATCAGTAGTCGAAGTTTCTTTAATATTATCTATGAATAATATTAATTAAAAAGGACCATCCTTGAAAAAAATGATTGATTTAAACGTCACGTCACAAAATTTAAATTTTCAAAATTTAGAAGTAATATGAAACATGGCAAAAGAAATGACCAATATCAAACACGAATTATCAGGAAAGCATGGACTATCGATTCCGAATTTGTACCCCTCCCTATGCTTATCAAAAAAATCCCTCAGAGAAAAAATGCATCCTTCCTTACCTCCCAATCTAGAAAACGGAGATAACGTGGCCGTAAGAGGTATCTAAAAGTCAATACTACATTAATAATAATTTATTTATTTGCGTTTAGGAAGCTGGCGATTTAGAAAGCGTCTTTAAAAAAATAATTACTGGGCTAACATCCTCTAATAAAGTCGTTCGATCAGAGTACTACATCCTGTTAGCTACTCTGTTGCACCAGTACAAGAACGTATCATTTGAACAAATCAGAAGTTGCATAGAAAGTGTAATACATCATTACAAAGATTGTTCTAGTACTAAATTAATTTATATGAATTCGAATTCATCAGAAGACGTTTCTAATGCCTTCATGGGCGAACTTTTGGCTTACGGGGCTTTGGTACGATCTGGTGCATTCTTTAGATATTCAGAATCGAGTCAGAAACATGTCATTGAGAAAATACTGTCCTTCAGGAGTAAACAAGAACGATTTTCTTTGGCTGCTTCGGTCTTTTTCACCGACATTATCGAACAGGTTTAGAAACGATATATATAAATATAAAACGAGAAAACATAAAGTATTTAAAACTTTTAGGTCGATGAAGACACTTTTTCAAAATTGGTGTGGCCAAAATTGAAACAAGAAATCGTAGTTCCTTGGTTGGATCAAAACTTAGACACCCTGTATCTAATTTTCATAGCCAAACGCCGATTTCCTGACGTAATTAACGCCTGTAGCTCGATCAAAATATTGAACAATTCTGAATTATTTTCAGCGGATAATATGAAGTACCTCTGCACAAAACTTTTGGTAAATGGTCACTGTCATTCTTTCTTTTATCTCACCCTTTTTAATATAAATAATATACGTCTTTATAGGACGTTTCATCGTACGACCAATTGAATCACCCTGTATATTCTGTTGTAAGTAATGAAATAGCAAATTCGGTTGTCTTGATATATTTCGTTTACCAATTGGACCATTGTTTGGAAGAACAAAGTCTTAACAAACTCGTAGCGGTTTCGGTCATTTTGACCAATATCATACGAGCCCTTGACGATTTGTCTTTACTCACCGAGCTTCTACAGTACAATTTCATGTTGCAACTTCAACACCACTTTCGAACTCCGAACACCAGCGATCCTGATTATCCGAAAGCCGTTGCAAGAGTTAACGAATTTTTCGAAACCCTGTTGACCGTGTTTAGAAATTCTTATATACTGGACCAGTACAAAGTGGCGCTACTTAAAAAGCTTTTGCTGTACCCCGGTGATCTGCTAATAGACAATTATTTTGACGTAAAAATTGTCCGCGGCATGACGTCGATCCTGCATACCGAGGGCGTTAAAGAATTATCAAATCTGTACAAAAAGATTGTGACGGAAAACATAAAAAAAGAAAATAAAGCTAAGGTCGATTCTCCCTGGACCCTGGACGAAAAAAGGCACGCTTCGAATGCTTTTGTCCAATTGCTAGCTCATCCAGCAGTCTCTGAAGAATTTGATTGGAGAACTGAACAAATGAGATTTTTAATTCATCGCGGATTTATTGACGATAATTCCGTTGAAAATATCGACCCGCAACTTTCAGATTTTCTTCGAGAATTATTTTACACGTCTCTCAACTTAAAATTACCAAATCTAGAACAGCAACGTTCCACCTTCTCGGCAATTTTCAAGTACGTCAAAGTGTTGACTTATCAACTCGATCTAAATATTAACCTTCGCATTAAACTACCCCCCGAAACGTTGGAAATGTGGAAGACCGTTAATGAGTTTATAAATGCAACAGAGGGAAAAATAAAAACAAATGAACCCGCGAATCTCTTCTTTCAAACTTTAATATTGCAAATGACTTTGTATCTTTTAACTGGTGAGGAAATGGCGATCGCATGCCTCCAAGAGATCTTACTCAGTTACCAGAAAATCAAAAGCAAAGCACAAAGCGCTTGGGTGAACGAAATTGTTATGGACTTGTTGTTGGTGTTATTAACTTACCATTCGGATTTTATACAAAAATCGGTCTATTGTATGAGTGGATATTTGAATGAATTTGTCACGTATGGTACTGTACGAAAATTACTGCCCATATTAGACGCCTCTTATGACAATTCACCCCATTACACCGAATTCAACGAACAAGAATTCAACATTTACGATAATGAGAACGAAATAATTAAAGAAGCAATCAAAGGAAATCAGTTTCAAAAATATCGAAAATATGCCCAGCAAGTCTTCGAAACATTAAAAGTTTCAAACACAAACGTCATAGGAGATAATTCAACTACAAAAGCTATGGTGATCCTTAAGGAATACGCAGTAACCATTTTAGACTCTTATATTTCTACTAATTGCAACTTGACAGCCTGTTTGAATATTTTGGCTACTTTAATAAATTCACTCGAAGCGACTGCAAAAATGAACGACTGCGAAACACTCAACGGTCGTTTGAAAAATTGCTTCAAAACCCTCACATCCCTCAGGAAATTCAATTCGTTTGAAGGTCTGACAAGTACAGATCTCAGCAACTTTTTAAGAGCACTTTTGGACAAAGCAAACGAGGAAAACCAGTTCAAACACACAACAGCCGAAATTTGCAAATCATGCCAGTTCATCATCAAGTGCTCGACCCTAATAAATTCGACAGAAGCAGCCCCAGAACCAACGAAAAGGAAATTGAACCAAAAACTCACAAGAACATTAACAATAGCTTTGGAATCGTTCTTCAACAGTAAAGAAACGTCAAATGTGTTTAGTGTTTTCAAGTCAATTTTCAAGCAAAAGTGGATCTGTGTCTTGTACGTGGTTCCAAATTTGTACATTTACGGTTTCAAACCAGATATTAAAATGATCAAGCGAATCCTGGCATTGGAATTACTGACAACATTCTATAACAACCACGAGCTACTGAAAGTCGAAAAATACAGGGCTGAAAAGTTCCTACAGGACGACGAAGTCCAATTTTCCGATAACATAATCAACTTTTTCAAAATTCAATGTCTAAACTCACCCCAAACGAAACCAAACGAAAAATATATTACGAACATATTTCGGGTGCTAACGTCTGTGATAAACAGCCCCACTAAAGATGACCATTTCGATTGGAGGAGCATAAGGGACTATATAAGACAATACAGAGGGCTGACTATATTCACCAGGGACGCCAAATGTGCTTACAAAGAACTCCTCGGAAAGCTGGAACCCTGTTCCTCTGTGAAGGACGACAATAAACAGTCACTAATAGATTTAGACGAACTAAATACTATACGTGTTAGCAAGGAAGATTTAATCACAAAACTGAGTTGTTGCTCCGAAAAACTGAACAATATCGTCTTGTCATTGAAGGAGAGCAACCATCACGAACAAAAGTCGAATGAAAAAGATGAAAAAGGACAACAAAAGACACGAAAGAGCAGAAGCGATCATGGATCATCCCCACACAGTGGAGATCTAAAGGTTTCGAAAATTTTACGCGTCAAAGAGAAACCAGGAAGCAGCAACATACATGACGGTAAAAATAAAAAAACTAATAATAATAATAATGGTGATTATGAATATATGTCGATAATAAGAAAAGTGCATAAAGCTAATAAAGGGAAAAGGGAACCGATGGAAAGTCGAAGCCGCTCGCGAAGCAACAGCGAAGATATTTCTATTGTATCTTTCGAATATCAAGAAGAAAAAAGTCAAAGTAAAGAAAAAGTTAAGTCTGGAAAACGTAAAGCCAGCACAGAAAAAATAGAAGATGGTAAGAAATTTAAACTATTAAATTAAATTGTCTTCCGCCTTATCCTTCAGCTTTCGTTTCGCTTTGATTTCCGTCACTAAATCCATTCACTTACAATATCGCTTTATAAAATTCGACTGTCTTCGCTATCGGACAAACCAAAAAAATAAAACACGAAAAAAAAAGTAGTAAATCAACCGAGAGCAGAACCCGGGTCGCCTGCATGCCAAGCGAGCGTTATAACCGCTGAACCATTTTCAAATACTTAAGTCTATCACAGCAGGGGCTGACAGGGCAGCCATTAGTCCAATTTGCGGGAACCAATGCGGGCAGCACACTTTACAAATCAATTTTTAAAAACATTTGCAGGAATATATTATAAAATAATAATCAATCATCCCCTTTTTTATACAATAAAAATCGTCAATGATTTTGCGAAATAGGTAATTCTTCTACATTTTTCTCACATGTAATTTAGAATCCTTCTTAAAATAGGTGCCTACCGAATTTTAATTTTAAATAACATTAAAATTGCCTAATGAATTTTTATTTGCACATCTTCAGATAAAGAAGCTCTAAAAATAGCTTCAAACGAAATAACAGATAACAAAACTACACGGCCTGAAAAAGACGCTAATTCTGATGAAAACAGTATGAGAGAATTGTCTACAATGTCCGCCGAATGTAAAAGCGAAAACTTAATCCAAACGAATGGCCTAAAAAGAAGTAAGATTAAGCACGAAGTGTTTTCAAAATCATGTCCCACAATAGACGAAGAAGCAGATGTTGATTTGGATAAGGGAAAGGTTACTAAAAATGTCGAAAAACTGGCTCCAAAAAAACCAAGTAACTTCAATAGCAAAGACTCGTCTCAAACCAAAATAAAAAGAACTAACAGCCCCACGACAAATACCAATCCAAAAGAAAATCTAACTCGTAAAAAAGCTCAAACTAATATGGACGAATCGGTAAAAGATGATTCTGCTATTAGTAACAAAGGCAGCAAACCAAAAACAAAAAATAAATCCATCAGAAACAACAATAAAATAAAAAGCATGATCAAAAACAGCAACTGCATGTTTGAAAATTTAATTGAAGCTATTACTGCCAAGAGTCCGAGCGAGAGACGACTATTAGAACAAGAAAAGAATACGGGACCAAAAAAAGTTGGAAAATCACCACAAGATTTGTCATTGGCTTCTAATCGAGCTTCCACGAATATTTTTCAGGACAAAATGGTCGCCGAATCGCAAAAAAAAACAAAAGAAAAACCAACAGTGAGCCAAAAGTTGGTTTTTCTCAAAACAAAAAGTCACTAGACGCCATTTCCATGGAATCAACCATCAACAACAAAGAAAACACAAAAAAATTATTTATCTCGACCTGATATACGCTCTATATATTTCAATGTTGTTGAAGCTTTAACTGTGTGCCTACTTTAATAGACATTATTATTTACTAATTTTCTAATATAAAAATATATTTGCCATTAAATATTGCATTATGCAGTGTGCCTACTTGATCTTTGTAAAAAAAAGGAAATAAATAAAAACAAAAGTTACACTGAGGTAATATTTTGACATATACACATATAAAACAAAATTGGCATACACCCTGTATATTTAACATTAACCGATTTTTCTTCCGTTAAAACGCAAAAAAATTACGAAAAATTATTTTTTAAAATTATTTATTAAGTATCTAATGAAAAATAGATAATAATGAACATGAAACACAACTGAACAAAAAATAATGTACAAAATATATTTTTTATTGCGAAAAAATATTTAATGAAGTTGACAATTCTAAACTCGTTGAGCTTCGATTTTCCTGTAGTAAAATAAATATTTTAGTGCATTTCTAAACGAAAATTTCCAAAAAAAAAATTAATAATACCTCGTCTGAATCACAGTCACTTATTTCTCCGAAAAGAGAACGCTCTGTAATAAAAGCTACTTTAACACCCCGTATAATACATGTAAATGCAACAAACATACCATCAAAGTCATTTCTTGAAGAAACGTTATCATATATAAGCTCATATCTGCTAGATACCTGACAATTAAAAAATTCGTTTTCTTTATCATCTGCGATACTATTTTTATTACTTAAAATATTTTTTATATCGAAATTGGTGTATTACTATTTTATTAAACTTACAGCTTCAACGTCCATTCTAAGTAGCCAAAGAACTTCTTTCTCAATTTCATCAACATCTTCGAGGTCGATTTTGTTTTTCAAAACTTTTCTGAATCGCCTTTTGCGTACGTTTTTTAAAGGAGGTGTAAGACCATGAGGATACGAATATTTCTTTAAATTCTTTTTAGATGTAACAACATTTTTGTTGTTTTCATCATTATTTTCGAATGGTTCTTTCTTACAAACCACGATTTTCGAAATATCCGCAGTTTTATAAAAATCTACACGATCTGTTGTCTTCAAAGATTCCACGTGACATGGTAAATCGAAAACTCTGGCATTTAAAACTTTTTTATTCAAATGAACCACCCCTTCGTTCATCTCGCTGTTTAACGATATTTTTAACATTTTTTTCACTTTTTTTGGCTTCGAATGAAGGACATTTTTCAAATCATTTGCCTCTTTCTATGTATTTATCTTATGAATCAAAACCGTTTAAAAACGAAAATTAGGTATACTTACTTCAGGCAAACGAAGAAGGAATTGTTCTTCCAATTCGTATTTGTTTTTCTCTTTCTGCCTTTGTGAATCGTTTGACGACATTTCATCAAATAATGTCAAAACTTGTAATAAACTTTTGAAAGTTCATCTGTCTCCATTTTGATTTTCAATTGGTTGATTGAATGTCAGCCATAATGATTACGTCAACCAATCAGATCGACTCATTTATAAATAAGTATACAACAATTTTTACATAAAATGTGTGTTTATTAAAAAAAAATAGAACTTCTGCGTGGAGTTTAATATCATTCATTTATATACCAATATTTTTATAATTGGTCTAATCATAATCACCTAATAAGAGTTAAAATCGTAGATGTCTTACATTACAGAAGTCTGTTAAGAAATAGAAAGTGTGGTTATAGATTGGGTTGGATTGGGTGGTATTTGTTGAATTAGTCATTCGTTGATGGTGTTGTCATTGTTGATAATAAATTAAGTGTTGTTTAAAACAAATGAATAAAAATGTCTTTGGCTGTGATACAGTCCGATTGTAAAAGGGCAATATCCCTTATTTCCCATTTAAGTAACGATGAGTTGGACGAGATAATGAACAACGAAGAAAAACTAGAGAATCTGCTGAAAGACTTGAATCAGGTTTGTGTACAACATTTGTCAGTAGTTTTTCCCAAAACAACAACAGCTATTTATTTATAGAATTACATTAAGGAAATTGAAGCAGAGAAAGAAACATTGTTAGCTAGTAACAATTCATTAGCAGAATATAATCTTGGAAAGGAGCCTCTGCTGACTGAGAACAGAGAAAAGATCCACCAACTGTCACAAGAAGGTGCAGAGTTATCCAAATCAGTGAAAGATAAGCTTCAAACAGTGCAAGATAAGAATGGTGATATGTCCCTAGAGACCGCTTTAGCACTATTACAGACAGCAGCTAGTGAAATTGAAGAAGAATCAGAAAAGTTGGCACAAAAATTCCTAAACAATGAAACTGACTTAGAAGAATACCTTGACACTTTCATGATCAAAAGGAAACTTATGCATCTTCGTCTAGTTAAGGCAGAAAAGTTGGCAAAAATATTATCAAGAGGACTACCAAACAGCCAAAATTATATGAACGTTCCACCAACAACAATAAACAGCAGCTTCTTTCCTGGTACTGTATTCCCACCTGTCCCTCCAGCATCTGTGCCATATCCCACAGGACCCTTAAATATGCCTCTACCTCCTGGAGGTGTCCCCAGGTATTTTCAAAACCATTTTTGATATTTTACTTTGATTCATTGAATTATGCCAGTAATTGTGATTAGACTTACAGTGTCTTACAAAATGTTCATTTTTAATTCTGTGAGATACTGTATAAGTCATTAATATGGGAATTAATTAAACTAAAAAATATGCACAGCCTCAACAACTGGGTAAAACTTGAAAACTGTGATCGTTGGGCCTGTTTCACATTAAAATTAATTAACCATTGTTTTGCTATTTGCACAAATGAGTTAATTTTGCCATATACACGTTTTTCACTTATCACTTAAAATATACATGCAAATGGAGGCTTATTATTATGATATTTACTGGAATTAAATATAAATATAGTATAGTTAAATTTTAAATTCCCTACCAAATTAATTTTGATTTAATGAAAAAAAGGAAAATAGCACACTTTAAGAAAAGAATAATAATCGTATCATTTTTTGTGTTTTATTATTCTCAAAATAGTTATCTACTTTTTGTATAAGAAAGCTTATAAAAGAATGTTATTAGTTATGCAGCTCAGTTGGTAATGTAGTTAATATTTTATGCTACTGAACTGTTATGATACACAAGAAAACAATTTAAATTTATTATACCATTACACGTAGTAAGTAATGGATACATTTAATCAAAACTTGCTATTTATTGTACATATAAGTTTTACAATAAAATTATTGTAATGTTTTATGAATCTTTGTAAAATATTACAATCATATTTTTTATTTATCGCCTTTGTCTTAAAAGTAAAAGAGGGACAACTTATCATCCGCATGTCCTTTTTTAAATCAGTAATTATGTTATGTATTATCAGACAAGACAACACCATCTTTTTTGGTGACTTCATATCTATGTCTATTATGTATGCTCTATGCGTGTAGCTCTATGGATAGTTTCAGGCTTACAGATGATGTAACGTCAAATTATTTTTACTTCGTGATTTTTACATTTTAAACAGTTTTAATGCAGTGATTTGGATCACATATGGTAAATAGTATTTACTTAGAAAATTTAAGTAATTTTTAGGCTTTTTAATTCCTTAGATTTGTGTAAGAAATACTATTTCTAACCTCACAGTTTGTATATAAACATTATGCGAACGCGATATGGTTTTTACAATGTCGCACAGCAAAGTTTACGAAATTTATGTACAACAACAATTTACAATACCAAAAATCATTACGATTCCTTGGGCATTACTCCAAAAGCTTCCCAGAAGGACGTAAAGGATGCATATTACAAGTTATCAAAACTTTACCATCCTGACAAGAATGAGGGCAGTGAAGAGGCAAGTAAAAAGTTCCGCCAAGTCTCAGAAGCCTACGAAGTATTAGGAAACATAAAACTTAGAAAATTATATGATAGAGGCAAGTTTTATTATCATTCAAGAATTCAGGTTCCAAATGATTAAGCAACGTCCCCATTTATGTTTTTATTATTTATTATTATAAGGATTATTTTTAAAGGGGCGTCTAATCTTGGTAGACGAGGGCAGTATCCTACAAAGGAACACCCATTGGCAAATTTTCACAGATCTCGAGAACGAAGAACAAGACCACCACCACCACAAAGTGGAAGCACACCTATTTATGACTTTGATGAATGGTCCAGGGCTCATTATGGTACCACGTTTGCGCGAGACATGTATTACAAAGATATGGTATACAGACAAAGAGCAACAAGAGCAAGAGAAACAATTGATATTAAAGTTGAGCGTACACTTGTTTTAATTGCAACAGCCTTCATAATTTGTTTTATAGTATCACGTTCCTTCGACAATCCCGATAGTATAACTTATGTTTCAAAAAAAACGACACCACCCTGCGATTGATGACTGACTAAATCAGTTACCAATTAATTTCCTTGTTAACCTGCATCCAAGGCTAGTAATGTGTAGTTTATTGTACAGATATATTTATATTTTTAAATTATGTTTTTCATTTCAGTTTAGNCAAGCTTTAGCGCGATTAATTCGCTCATGTGACTTGCTTTGGAACCCTCAGCGAGGGCAAAACCACCTCCAAGAAGGAAAATCAGACCCCACGGTAATTTCTGTTGCACTACTTTCCACGTTATCAGGGGAGGTAGTAATGTGTAGTTTATTGTACAGATATATTTATATTTTTAAATTATGTTTTTCATTTCAGTTTAGAAATACAATTACGTCGTTATACTTTTATAAACTTCGTTATACGTATTTTTGGCGCCGTATTTTAAATTAAAACGAACATGTGACGTAATGTAATAAAAGATGGCCGCCAAAGACAACCAAAAATGAAAAGGCTACATGCTAGATTAATGTTCTAATTAGACTACAAGTACGGTTGTATGTCGATATGAAAGCCATTTCACCTTCATTTCCTTTTTTAAATCGTAAATTAACTTATAAAAAAAATATATTTTACCTATGATTATTGCAATCCTATCTATGGTCTTGTACTGTTGATTAGATCGCTGATGTGCCGCCATTATTTTTTATTTAAATGTATTTTTAGGTTATATTAAGTTATATTTATGAGAAAAGTGATAAATTACCTAAAATTTAGAAAACAAAGTGTTTAACTATTGTCTAATGCCATTGTGACGTGTAATATTTAATGTACTTATCATTTACTTATTCGTTGTGAAGAAGTGGTCTATTTTCAATTTTCCAATTAATATCCTTTACATATACATGAGGAGTTTTAAGAAGTATTACAAACCTATTTTAATATGCTTGGGAGCAGTAAATTGTGGTACATATTTATATTATAATCCTCATTTTGCCGACAAGAGAAAAGTTTTTACATCATGGACTACAAATTATGTTCCTCCAAATTCTTCGAAATGGGATGATAATTGGGACCAGTAAGTAAATGTTCATCTTGGGCTTATTTTGTAACTGATTTTTATAAATGCTCATAACTCCTAAAGGATATAACTCGACTTTTAACATATCCTCAAACATGCATTGTCAGCAGGTCTCCAAACAGTTTAATACATCCTAAGAAAATCCTAAATGATACAAATAATGACAAAGTGGTAGAGAAACTAAACACACTTCGCTCTACTGCAACAAGGCACATTATATTAATCAGACACGGTCAGTATGAGATTGATGGAGGCACTGATGAAGAAAGAAAGTTAACGAAGTTAGGTATAAGATTGAATTTAAATGGTTTGAGAAATTTTAATATATTTGGGAATGTATTTTATTTAGGTTGCAATCAAGCTAAACAGACAGGCAAGAGACTTCAGCAATTGGGATTCCCCTATACAGAAATGATCAAGTCAACAATGAAGAGGGCACAGGAGACAGGGACAATTATTTCAGATTTTTTACCAAAAGTAATTTGTTTAATTCTGTTATATTATAATTGTACCTATTTTAATTTAATTACATGTGATAGGTTCCTGTTCGTGAATGTAATTTCATTAGAGAAGGAGCGCCTGTCCCTCCGGAGCCTCCTGTTGGTCATTGGAAACCCGAGGTTTATGTAAGATTTCTTAACATATCTTTACATGATTTTTTTTTATTTTATTTTTAATTCTCCAATCTCGAATCCATTTTTTGAGATGTGTAAGTATCTTTATATTAAAATTGTTAGCAGTTTTACCAGGATGGAGCCAGGATAGAGGCTGCTTTCAGACAGTATTTTCATAGAGCTGATCCAAAGCAAGAGCATGATAGTTTTACTTTACTTGTATGCCATGCAAACGTCATCAGATACTTTGTGTGCAGGTCAGTACGTCACCTGATTATTATTTAACACTCCTAAGTTATTTACCATAGGGTAACTTATTTTAGTTTAGAACAAATTGGTCATACTGTAATGGTTTTTGTTTTCTGGTCATTGAAGCTCTTTCTTTGTCAAAGTAATTATTTAAATTTGTCATTTATTTTTCTTTCGTTTTCCCTATCGTAGAGCTTTGCAGTTTCCCCCTGAAGGATGGTTGAGGTTGTCTTTGAATCATGCAAGTATTACATGGATAAGTATTGCGCCTAATGGAAGAGTTAAATTGATGGCGTTAGGTGATAGCGGTCATATGCCGCCTGAAATGCTTACTGTGTCCTGAAATAATTAACTATTAATTATTTACACCATGTATGATGGTGGGTTGTGTTTATATGAAAAAATAAAAACGTATTTTATTCTATTTTTTTTGGTTTAATACTTTTTTTGTATGCCCCTCAGGGGCTCACACCTTGTGAGTACGGGAACTGGCGATCCCGAGGTGCCCTAGCTGGAACTGTACCCCTCTTGGGACAGTTCATTTACATTACTGTCTCTATCCCTCTTGGAAGAAATAAGTCATTAGATTTAAGTAATCTCTTGATATTTAGCTAAAAATATAATTGAATTCTTCTTGACCTAAATAAAACACAATCTGTTATTGATTTCAATTTCTAACCCGGGTTAAGGTACAAGTGTTCGGTGGCCCTTTTGGTCACTTATGAACACCTTGTATGTACTTTCAGTAGTTATTAAAATAAGGTTTTTAACCTTGACTGATTTGGGTCTCAAATACTACTTGTAATAAAAATACTTTTTATTTACACAGTTGCAGCATTTACAATAAACTTGTTATTAACAAAATGCACAACATCTTGAACTTATGAACTATACTGGAGTACTTAATAATTATAATTTTGCACTAAAATATATAATATTAGGAAAATGGTTTTTCACTTTTGATTTTTCTGCGTTTATTACACAATTCGTTGCTATGTACTCATTTTATATTTGTNCAAAATGCACAACATCTTGAACTTATGAACTATACTGGAGTACTTAATAATTATAATTTTGCACTAAAATATATAATATTAGGAAAATGGTTTTTCACTTTTGATTTTTCTGCGTTTATTACACAATTCGTTGCTATGTACTCATTTTATATTTGTTAATAATGATAAGTTTATTAACACCATTAATAAAGGTATAAAAATAACTTTGTGAAATACAATGAAATTGTTGCAATTAACGAAACGAGGATGTTCACATTACAATTAAAAGCAAGAACGTTTAATAGGAAAATATCGAGTGTTATTAAAATTATTTTATTCAGTCTTCCATAGTCAGATTAGAAATATCCCATTAAAAAAATAAATATTTACAAATTGAGTTCCTGAAGTAGTAAAAGCAATATCCTGTACTATTATAGCAGTGTTTGACATGCAGTATTGTCTTGGCGATACTTTGTCCGTTGACTAAAATTCCATTAGGGTACAATTAAACTAAGGCTTCTTCTAACAATTTAAAAAATGAACAAGTATTGAGTGCCAACGTTATTACATGTTATGTATCCAAAAATAAATTGTTAACAAAACTATTCAACCATCGATTAAATCTAATACTATTAATTCTTCGTCGGTTCATTCTTTTGAGCACCAAATTTACTTTGCCAGGTACAAGAACCTGATTATTAATTCATTGCCCATTCGGGGAATTCGTTAAGAGAATAAATAACAGCTCCCAGGGTGGGGAACATAATAAAAAGTACAACAAGTGCAATAATAGACACCCCAATACCAGCTTTAACCATTTCTTTAGTGGGCATATTACAAGGAGCAGCAGCGATTGCATTTGGGGGAGTGCCCACAGGTAAACAGAAGGCATGACTACAACTTAGAGCTGCCGGCATCATTAAATAAAGCGGATGCCACTTGGCATTCTTCGACATTTCGGCCAAAACGGGTAAAATAACGTTGGCCACAGCCACATTANCAACTATTAGTATATCTAAAATTTATTCTTTTTTATCATTTATCTCCATCGAGAATTTCATATGTATTATTAAGTAATGATCCGTTTCATTAAATTAGCTACTGTTGGACTATTTTTGGAAATAAGCGTATGAAAAATTTGATGACTATCAGTTTTACAAACTAATACAATTGGGCATATCGAAAAAATTCTTTTGTAGGTATTTGCATTACAACAACACTACAAATATTTGTAAATATCTGTTAATCAATTGACAAAAACATTTGTGCGTGAGTCAAAAATAAAAAATTAGGCTGGAATTCACAGCTGACTAATATTTTTTTGCAAGCTTAATCGGAGGTTTTTACGAAATTAATGGGAAGATACATATTTATATAGGAGCAAATAAAAAGAACGCATAACTCAAGTTCATGTAACAACCGACGTCCAAATGTGCCAACTTTTCTCTCAAGCTGTGGTGAAATAAAAATAATTGACGCCAATTTAATTTTATCGAAAAAAAAATATACGTATTGAATAAGTAGGTACCTTCAAGTCAGTTATCATTTCTGCCCATCCTGGAATAAATTGTGGCTTCCTGAAGAACCATAAGAGAACGGCAGCCACGAAAATGGTACCCACAGCAGCTTCGTGAAACGATATAGGACCCAATTCGTCGATTTTCTGTTTGATAAGTTTTCGGGCCACCCTTTCTCCTTCCTTGCCCAATTTGGTTCTTTTGGCGTCTTCAGAATTAGGACGGAACAAGCCCATAAAAAGGATTTGTAGCCACAACCATGTCAGAAGCATAGTAATTAGCATTACGGGAGCATTGAAAAACAACCAGGAAGTGAATTCGATTCCGGGACTGTCGGGAAACAGTGTTTCATAAATACCTGTGGGAAATAAACATTAAACAAAAAAATGAGATTTCGTTAAGAAAATTTCGTTACCTTTAAATGTCAAGTTGGTCCCACTTCCCACTACGGTTCCCATTCCTCCTATACTGGATGCATAAGCGGCTGTCAGAAAGTAACAGATTGTCGTTCTGCTGGGTCTCAACGGTTCTTCTGGTTTGACCGCACCTTTGCCGTTTTCTGCGACCTTGTTCAATGCTTCACCAGCTTCGCCCAAATCGTCCTCCTTTTTCGTCGGTCTCTCGTACATATCGCCGATTCCCTGAGATTCCAGCTCCTTCAGAGCTGCTTCCACAATGGGACACATCATAGCCGTAGCAGCCGTGTTAGATATCCACATAGAGACGAACATGGTCACCATGCACAGGCCGAAGTTCAACTTTTTCGGACTGCAGCCGACCAAAAGAATCACCGACAGCGCCACTCTCCTATGTAGATTACAATATTCGACTGCAATTGCTATTATCAGACCGCCGACGAACATCATGTTCGTCTCTTTGAGATAACATAGGGACGTCTTGTCGGAATCCAGTACTCCCATCAAAGGGAACAGAACCTGTAGGAAACATTTAATTAATATTTTAAGAGGGCGGAAAAAAATTAATGTACCATAGGTATAAGGGCAGTTACGGGTAAGGGTAGGGCCTCGGTAACCCACAACCCTGCCATAAGGAGCACAACGTATAAACATCGCATAGCAGGGGTGTTATTGCAAAGGAATACTGGCATGATGACGAACGGGAAAATTGTCACGAAAATGGCCCGCCAGTACATTCGTACGGCCTTGACAAGAAGTTCCACCTTGGAGGCCATGGCGGTCTGTACCTCTTCTGTCACTAAAAAAAAAAAGTAAAGATAACGTTTCCGAAAAAAAAGACGAAATCACGAAATGCAACAAATATAAATAATTTATACAAAAGTTATTATTTGACCTAAAGATGCAGAATTGACCTACGACTTCCTATCAAGAAAAAATACCTTTGTATAAACAATTTTTAGGTACTTCCTCCGCATCATTCTTAATCAACGTAGGAATTGAAATAAGGCAAAGGTTAATTCGATTATTATTATTGTGAATGCTTTCAAAGTATAACAGTACTAGGCATCTAGCAAGGAGGAGTTAGAGATAGCTTTAAATTAAATGGAAGCGGTATTGACAAAACAGTAGTGCATGAAAATAAATAAAAGTAAAACAAAGATACTGGTATGCAAGGGAAGAAACAGTAGGGAAAGAACGAATATAAAGATAGGAGACTAAAAATTAGAAGTGGCTGATTTTAGGTATCTAGGAAGTAAGATAAGTCAGGACGGAAGGAGTAGTAAATATAAAGCAAAGGATGGTGCAGGGTCGCGTCGCCTTTAATAAAAAGAAGTCATTTCTATGCTCGCGAACGGTTAATTTAGAAATTTCAAAATTATTGTTAAAGGTGTATGTTTGGAACGCGGCGTTGTACGGGTGCGAAACATGGACAGTGGGCGCGGCGAATAGAAAAGGTTAGAAGCGTTCGAAATGTGGCGTTATATGCGAATAATGAGGATAACGTGGATAGAAAAGGTTAGAAATGAAGAGGTATTAGAAAGAATAGAGGACTCTATGAAAGTCAATAAAAAATGGGCGAGATAGGTTGGTAGGATACCTTCTCAGGCATGAAGGTCTAGTGAGAGACATATTAGAGGCAGAAACAGGAGTTAAGAGGAGTGGAGGCAGACCTAGATTAGATTACTGTTCGCAAATAGTTAAAGATGTGGGTTGTTCCAGTTTTAGGGAAATACGAAGATTAGCTCAGGATAGGAAACAGTGGAGGTGCGTGTCCAACCAGTCTTAGGACTGACGATCTTATGATGATGATGCTTCCAAAGAAAGTACATGCTAATCTAGAAAAACTTTTGAGTATCATCATCATCATAAGGTCATCAGTCCTAAGACTGGTTGGACACGTACCTCCACTCTTTCCTATCCGGAGCTATACTTCGCATTTCCCTAAAACTAGAACAGCCCACATCCTTAACTATTTGCGAAGAGTAATCTAATCTAGGTCTACCTCTACCCCTCCTAACTCCTGTTTCTGCCTCTAATATGTCTCTGACTAGACCTTCATGCCTGAGAAGGTGTCCTACCAACCTATCTCGCCTATTTTTTATTGACTTCCATAGAGTCCTCTGTTC